ACGCAATAGAGATTTCCTTTTTAGGGTGCTTCATTGGGAAGCGTGGCCTTCGAACAGGTCAAGTCCATTGTAGACTGGCCAGTTCCACGAAACCAGAAGGACTTGCCTAAGTGGCTTGGTCTCGCCAGTTACTTGCACAAGTACAGCGTAAATTACGCAGAAATGGCCCGGCCAATATCCAATCTCCTTTAAAAGGATGCGGAATGGTGTTGGAACACCGAACATCAGGAGGCTTTTGACGGAGTCAAAGACAGCCTCCTGCACGCACCAATACTGGCGTTACAAGACCCTGATCTTCCTTTCAGCGTCGTCTGTGACGCTTCGGACTTTGCCATTGGCTGTGCACTGCTGCAAGCAGACGCCGAGGGGCGAGATTGGGTGATCGCGTTCGAATTTCGACAGCTCAAAGCTGCAGATAAGAACTTCCCAGTTCATGACAAGGAGCTGCTTGCGATATAGTATGCACTTGTCGAGTTCAGGATCCACGTTCTCGGCTCCAAGCCGATTGTGATCTATACAGATCATGCGTCACTAGGCACTGCGACTCAGTCGCCCCACCTCTCGCAGAGGATGCTTAGATGGCTATCCTTCTTTGCGGAATATAACTTCGAGGTAAAGTATAAGCCGGGAAAGCAGAATGCTTTGGCTGATGCGTTGTCGCGCAGACTTGACTATAAGCTTGCTCATGTTACGACTGTAACGTAATCTGTGACAGATTTGATCCGCACCGCGTATGCGGGTGATGGGATGTGTGTAGCGTTGCTACGGGCTCCAAGGAGCAAGCAGTTTGGAAAAATGGACAAGAAATTGTCACAAAGATTGCGTGCACGATTGCACAAATATTTGTTGAATAATGGTTTGCTATAATATAGCCCCGATTTAACGGATACACCACGAATTGTGGTTCCTCACGATGAGGATTTGAAATACCGCATTTTTGATGAGGCTCATGACACACCACTCAAAGGTCATCTCGGTCAAGAGAAAACGTACAACTTTGTGAGTCACCACTATTGGAGGCCCAAGCTGTACAAATGGACGGGCACCTACGTGTGCATGTGTGAGACGTGCCAACGGGTGAAACCCTCTCCAAATACGGTTGCGCCGCTAGTCAGCTTACCGGTACCCACTGAGTGCTGGCAGTTCATGAGTTTGGACTTTGTGTTTGGCCTGCCAAAAAAATCGGCGGGCAACACGGGTGTCGTGGTATTCGTCGACCGGTTGAGCAAGATGGCTCGTTTGGCGGCGGTGCCAGACACCATCTACGGAGTCGGCACTGCAACGTCGTTCGTGAATCGTATTTTTCGATAATACGGACTCCCTGAGCCGATTGTATCTGATAAAGAGCTCCGTTTCACGGAAAATTTTTGGTCGACTATCTTCAAGGTGCTCGACGCCAAGTAGTATATGTCGACAGCGTGGTCAAACCGAAAAAGTGAATCACGTCATCGAAGACGTTCTTTGCAGCGTTTGCGCTGAGACGCCGAGGCGCTGGAGCGACATGTTTCCACTCGTAGAGTTGCACTGAACAGTGCAGTGCATTCGTCTACCGACTACACGCCGTTCTACGTGAACGGGCTGATTCACCCT